TCTTCCAATTGAAGCTATACCAGTTGGAATATCTGTTGGAATTATCATCTGAATATATTAGGGTTGGATTTTTATTTAGAATGTGGCATTTTGTTTGTATGAGTATAATATTTGATAATATAAGTATGCATTTTTATTCACGTAGTACAACGAGTTGACCCACTTAACGATATGGTTGACTAAAAATGTGTATGATTAACTGATTATACGAAGAAACTTACTCAAGACAAGATACCAACCTAGCAAGCAGTTCCTTTAATCCACAGTGAAATATTGGTTAACCAATATGCAAATAAACATAAGTCTTAGCTTCATTTGAAGGACCCTACAAATCATATGGAATTCAAGTTACTCCCAATCCCCACACCACATCATTTAATTTTTTTTTTTTCTATATCATTTTCTTTTATGACCATTTTATTTACTTATTAATTATTCAGTGTCTCTGTGAAAAAAAGAGAAAAAATAGAGGCATTCAATTTTACTTAAATATTCAGTGCCTTAATTATAAACATCTGTATTTCTTGTGCCAACCAAATCCTGAGAAAGAAATTGAATTGGGGATCATTCAAGTGCCTCTGTGGTGGCTCTCTCTGTATCTGGATCAATTTAATGGTTTTTAAAGCACCCCATATGTATTTAATTTATGGTTGCATTTTCCTATGAAGGTGTTAATGCCCCATTTATGTTATATGTATTTGAATAATGTTATCTTTTTCTTTTCTTTTGACCTCTCAACAACTAATATTTTTTTATTGAATTTTTTACTATGATATATGATTTCATATTTATGTGAGAGAGCCAACTATGATTTATCTACTACTACTATGTGGTTAGAACATTAATAAATCTCATGTGCATACCATTAAAAAATATGAATTGGATCTTTAGGACTGTATAGAACATTAACAATTTTCATTAGCATTTGTTTTATCTATTAGTAAATTGTTTGACTGGAGAATTAAATGGAGTTGTCCAGTTCTTAATATTCTAAAGTCCAACTAATCTTTTTTTCTTTTTCATCAATCTTCANCTTAGCAGAACATTTTTCTAGAAAAAAAAAACACTGTTCAATTCAAATGGGTAAATTAGGATGAAGAATAGGTCTAGCCCATTCTTGGCCCATCTAAAACAGCCCATTATTATAACTTATTAAGCAAGCAAAGCTTAGAATTTCTAGCCCAGTCACTGTAATAGTCAATATTGGCCCGAAAAGGTGGGGCCCAAGACCCAATTAGCATATGTTATGAATGGGGTTCTACGATCCACCTGCTTTAAGAAATTGAGATCAATAATCTAATAATAATATCATTTATCAAATTTGTTGCTAGTTTGCATAGAAATTTTCGTGGTGACACCGAATAATGTCTGAATTTGATTAGCCATAAAACTGAGAGTTTGTTACATTCAAGTTTTTATTCGAGTAGTTTTTATTTATTTATTTATTTATTTATTTATTTATTTTTTTGTTGTTGTCTTTAGCTGATTGCATTTAATATATGTTTTAGCTAATTTGATTATTTTTTTGTGTGTGTTTTAGTGAAGGTGTTAATATATTAGTTAATTTGATTACCTTTTTTGTGTGTGTGTGTGTGTTTTTGTTTGTGTTATCTGTTATTCCCTTATTTTATTGTGTTTTATATTTTTTTTGACTAAATTCTTACATTGCTAGTTCTAATCTCTACAAAAAGCTAGGAAATAGGTGCAATTTAATTGAATACAAATGTTTAATTTTTTTTACTACTATTTAGTTTTCGAGCTAGATCTTGTGCTTTATGTTTTGATTTAATTGTAGGGCATATTATCTACTACTAGTGTATATCCCGTGCGATGCACGGAAGAGTTCATATTTTAAACATTTTTTAGACTTTATTTTAAATATAATTATTTATATTTTTCACATCTCGTCTATTATGAAAATAAAATAAATACAATCAATGAAAAATATATAATATTAAATACTTTTCTTTATACAATATTTTTTATTTAAGGAATATTATTAAACCTTACGGTTTTGATTTGTTTTTTTAAATCAATAATTCAAAATATATGATTGTTAACGTACAAAAAATAATGGAAATAATCCAGACTTTAAAGTAAAGTTATTTTTTATTATTTTACAAATAAAAATCTTCCAAATTATTTTTAATTTCAAAAAAAAATTTGGCAAGTTTGATAATGAGTTAAATCAAGTTATACAAATGATTAAATAGCTAAAATGTTATATTAATTATATTTTAAGAAATCCGATTATATAAAAATGAGTAAAAAAATATTAGGGACATTTTCACTTATCTTACACGATTGTAGGAATATTGCAAAATTACCATTAATACACAATTAATTGTGTATATACCTAATAGCTAGTAATTAATTATATTGTTGCCTAAAAATCAGTTACAGATCTTGATTCCATATTCCATATTTAAGAAAAGATGACCAATTGGACCTGCTCAACTACACCTTCTTGTCTGCTCGTCTCATATACGTGATCTCGAGTGTATATCTTAGGTATATTTTATGCATATGTGGGTTCTGAAATCGATTTTGAGAAACGATTGAAACTCGAGTTTATATTTAAAGTATATTTTGTGTATATTTAAAGTATATTTTGTGTCTGCTCGTCTCATGTACGTGATCTCGAGTGTATATCTTAGGTATATTTTATGTATATGTGGGTTCTGAAATCGATTTTGAGAAACGATTGAAACTCGAGTGTATATTTAAAGTATATTTTGTGTAACATATACTGGTTTGGGCTTTGGATGGACTGGCTCCCTAATTATAATGGCTCGTCGGGAGAAATTGGTGATGGCGTGACTGAAACTGGAAGAGTTGTACGTGCGTTGGGTCGTTCATCTCAACGGTGGATCGAACAGCCCGTTTCCTCCACCAATCGGGTCTGATCGCGGGATTTCTCACGAGATTTCAGAACAGCGGCCAAGGTTGAAGATGGTGCAATCCTTCGCGAGAGAAGAGTAGAGGAGCGTCGGACCTGCTGCAATTGAATTTTCTGATCGTTCAGCAGCGGTCGTCTCTCGGATTGTGGTCGGCGGTCGTTCAGCGTGGCTAGCTGGATTTTTTGGTAGGGCGGCGGCGGATGGACTTGCAGACGCGATTTGATGATGGCTCGCCGGAAAAATTCAGATCTGGACGGGTTGAGAAGAGCAGAGGACCGTCGGGTTTCGTCGGCACCATTTATCGGTTTTTTTGGAGTCGAAATTGGTAGTTTGGTCTTGGCCATTGAAGACGGTTTCTTTGCGTTGAGAAGGATGAACGTGGGGCGAGAGAAGTTTTGCAGAGAGAGTGAGAGAGTAATGATAGCAGAGAGTAATTTTAGGTAAAATCTCCTTAATTATCTGATATAACTCCCTAATTATAATTTTAGGTATATTAGCAATAATTTATGCTTAATTTGGTAATTACATAAATATTTAACAAACAGTTGTAAGTTTATAATATATTAGGGCAGCTGATGTAGAGGGTGCAATTTCCTCAAAATATTATACTAATTAGTTTGTTAGGATTGTGATTATATGGAAGTTAAAATAAAATGAAATGTAACCAAAAAATTTGTTCGTGGTTTTTTCCTAAATGTTTGAATTTAAAAATCTAGTAACCAAATTTACATTATATCACGTAAGGAAAAAAATAAATAATAAATATTTATTAAAGAGATAAATCAATAATATTTATCACTTAGATAATAAATAATAAATATTTACATGTAAAAAAAATAAATAATAATATATTTAAAAATATAAGTCAAAATTTCAAATAAAGTAAAAGGAGGGATAACTCATTTTTTAAAAAAAGTTTCTAAATATTTAATATATTGATAAGTATCTCCATAAGAATAATCATACCATTTTAATTTTAAAAAAATTGGCAAGTTTGTTAGAGAGATAAATCCGGTTAGACAAATGATTAATTTGTTAAGATATTATATTAATTGTATCATAAAAAATCGGTTAGATAATATAGATAAAAAAATATAATACTAATTAGTTTGTTAGAAATGTGATAATGAAAACCAAGATAAAATGAAATTTACCCAAAAAAAATTGTTTGGAATCTTTTCCTTTAAATGTTTGAATTTACAAATTTAATACCGAAATTCTATCATATCACATAAGGAAAAAATAAATAATAAACGTTTATTAATATATTAAAATATGTAATTTTGAATTTCATATAAAGTAAAAGGTATGCTTATTCAAATTTATTTTTAAAATAAAAGTTATGATAAACATTTATTGATTCTCTTTCAAATATATTAATAAAATAAAAATATAAATCTAAAAAATTTTGAAACAACCAAAAAATCGGATTGATTGGCATAAAAAAAGGAAGTGAAATCGGATTTGAATGCTAAAATCGGAACACCTTACCAAATTGAATGTTAAAAGATTCGATTTGATTGGTTACCTAATTGTATGGGCTGAAAAAATTCAAAAAAAATTTTTACAAATTGAAGAAGCGGGAAAACAAAATGATTATTTTCGGATTGTTCAAATAATTTTTCTTCTCCGTATTATATAGTAATAGATGTTATAGCTTATCCTGTTTTAGCTTGAACGATATCTTTGTCCAATTTGTATTGATACCAGATTGATATCAATCTTTATAATTTAGTTAATTTCGAGGGATAATATTGTTATTCTTTGAAAAAAAGATGTGGAAATGTAGTTAAATAATTTAGCTATGTAATTTCTTAATTCAAATTGTTCTATTCGAACATTATCCATAAATGTTTAAAGTGAACGATATCTTTGTCCAAAGTGTATTGATGCCAGTTGATACCAGTCTTTATAAGTTAATTAGTTTTGACGGATAATATTATTATTTTAAAAAAAAATGTGGAAATGCAGCTAAATAATTTTGCTATGTCATTTCTTAATTGAAATTATTCTATTTGAACTTTATTCATAAATGTTTAAAGTGTCGTCGACTCTGTAGTAGTTCATCTTCGCCATTTCATCATAGATAAAGAGAAAAATTTATTGCAAATATTTGAACTTGAAAACACATAACTAAAACAATTATAAAAACATGCAACCAAATTACTTATTGTTGTAAAAAACAAAACAAAATCCCAAGTTTTATAGAACTTATTAATTTAGATTTAAAATGAATTATTAACTATTAAATCATAACATAATTTCAAATCCGACACACAATTTTCTTCACATGTTCATATCTTTTTCGAATAAAGAAAAATCAATTAAGTCAATGCTATATGGCTAGAATAGTTTACAGGTTGAGCTACCAAAGTTGGACACGCCAATCATTTATTACTCTTTTCAATATAATAAAAATTTATTAAAGATAATTCTACTTGTACATAATCTTATAGTATGAAAAAAAAATTATTTTATTGTACCAAAAAATAAAAAATTATTTATTGTAACTAATAAAATCCTGTTGAGCAACACATGCTTACGTAGACGAGTAATAATTTGATAAAGTAAATTACTTCAAGTAAATTATTATTTTTTTCCTCCACCAAAAAAGGGAATTATACAAAAAGTGATAAAA